AACAGATACCTCCTTCTGCAAACTCATGGGCAATAGTAGGAAGAAAGCTCAGCTCTTCAACTGCTGAATCTGTACAGCAGTAAGCAAAACCTGAGATTTTCAAGATGATGGTGGTTTTAGAATGAAATTCCTCTAATTAAGGGGCATTTCAACTATTACTTTCCAAAACAGTTAGATGCCTTTTCCTAAAGGTAGGGAAATACCAAGTATCTCTAAAATTTGAGTGTCTGCTGCTGCGAGTCTGATGAAAATATCCCTGTGTGCCTCTGATACAGAAGGAAGACTTACAAATCCAAATTGAGTACCTTTGTCTGACCTCTGGCACCAGGACAAAATAGACAGGTGAAAAACCTCAGATTTGGTACAAACCAGTCATTTTGGAAAAATGATGTTTTGCCGTAAGTGACTTGGAAGATTCCAAAGAGAAAGACATGGATTTCACGTTTGCTTTATTTATCTGAAGATCTGTCATGAATTAATTCAATGTAATACGAACAGCAGCAGCAGCAGTAGTAGCGGTAAGGAAAATAAACATATATATGTACATATGTATTTTGGAGAACACTGTAGGAGTAGTGATAATGCAAATAAACACATATATGCACATATGTAGTTTGGTGAACACCTATTAAAATGAAATAGCGTAGAAATGCGTGAAGCATGTCATGATTTTCTTTTGATGAACTTGAGTTTCCTGATAATTTAAAAGATGACTGGAGGGTCATAGCTTGTCAGGAAAGTAAGCCAAAATAAATTGTGTCTTTATAATATTCTTTCGTACAAAATGCTTTAGGGAGCATACAAAGTTTAAAAACCCAATGCCTTTTCATGTTGATACTTTAACCACAAAATAATGGCATTTTCTTGCAACTATTTTAAATTAATAATTTTAAAATAATGAGATAATTGGTGGGTGATAGCTAATAGTGAAGTGGCTCCTTTGTTATGCAGAACTAGTGTTGTAAGCAGTATTAATTATGTCACATTGTAAAATTCTTTCCTATTTAAATGGTGAAGTAAGATGTAAGGAATGAATAATATTTCATATCTATTGCTATGATGGGCACCTAGCAGGTAGAAGATGAGGAGGAGTAAAACTGGAGAAAAATAGTGTATTAAAAGATAATGTTAATTAAACTGTACTGTACTTCCCTAATCTTACGATTTTTTTTATTATTCTTCCATAGCCTCAGACCATTCGGCAAACTCTTCAAAGGACACTGCAGTATTTTGAGCATCAAGTTATTGGGTAAGTGTTAATGTGAGGTAGTGAAAGGTGCATGGTAATGTTTTCCTCAGTGCTTCTCAAGTCGTAGCCTTGTTTGACAAGCTTTTTAATTTTTCTCACAAATTCTTAGAGATGCTGTGGAGTAACTATACATGCTACGGACGTTATTGATAAACTGCTGTCCAGTCCTGCTTCCATGCAATCCCATCAGAGCACAACTGCTCCATTAACAGTGATGTTTCCTATATAAGGAGAATAGGGAATCTTTTTGTAAAAATATAAGATCTATTCCAATTTGCTTTTCACAGAGCCATCTGAGAATGCTGGAAAAGTTATTTGTGCTATCACCTGAGGTCCAAATCTTGCAAAATCCTGCATCAGTGCTGGTTACATACATGCACTGTTACATACTTGCAGGTTTTTGCAGAAGCAGGGCTGAAAGCTACCTCCGAAGAGTTCATTGAGAAAATTAATAGATGACTGAGGACTAAAAAGAAAGTAATAGCAACTATTATCGTGAAAACCTAAGACATTCTCCCATTGATTAAAATAATCTCCTTTCAACCTTTTTCTTATCTGCACAAGTATTTTCCTTACCTGCTCAAGTATTTTATTGTCAGATAACTTACTTTTCCTAACAGAGTCAGAATACAATGGCTGCATGTCTCTAGCCATTGAATGGCTGTGCCATATGACAAATGAAGAATGCTGTCCTCTGAATTTAATTACACAGATGTAAGGGAAATTTTTTTCAAGCTGTATTGGGGGTCTTTTTAGAATTTATGACATAGTTTCGAAGCTTGGTGCACTGGAGGGAATTGTCCTTGCCTGTTTCTCAATGTTTGGTTAAAATTCACAGGAAGCCCTAGCTTGATGGGTGATACCTGCAATATTAGCAGTCTGGCTGGCACCTGAGGGCAGCCAGTCTTGGCAGGTAGTTGTGACATCCACGGCGGGGCAGGCAGGGGGGAGAAGCCTTCTGGCTGCTAATTTTTTCAGTTGCAGTCTTATGTTAGGAGACTTCAGAGGATACACAGTGCCTTGAGGAAAGCATGTGTGCAATAACAATGCAGCTTTTTATTTATGGCCGCATGTGGCTTAGATGTACTTTTTTTAATGGACAAAGTTTAAAACCGGGTCACTTTGAAAACCTGTAATTCCCGTGACTTTCGATACACTGACTCAGTTTTTTTGAACATCAGTATGAGTTTGTTAAAGGAGCATCTGTCTCTAGAAGATGTTCTATAGTTGTCCTGTCCTGTGATCTTTACTTTTGGTACACGCTGTGGTGGGTTGACTTTGGCCAGCTGCCAGACCCTCACTCAGCCACTCCGCTCTCTCGCTTCCCCTCCTCAACAGGACAGGAGGGAAAATAAGATGAACAAAGCTTGTGGATAGAGATAAAGACACTCCTGACTCCTCTACCTCCTCCCGCCCTGAGTGGCACGGGGATGGGGATGGAAGTTGTGGTCAGTCCATAACAGCTCCTCTCTGTTGCTCCTTCCTCCTCACGCTTTTCCCCTGCTCTTTGTGGGCTGTCCACGGGCTGCAGCTTCCTTCAGGGCACAGGGTCCGGCATGGGGTCCTCCACAGGCTGCAGTGTGGATATCTGCTCCACTGTGGTTCTCCATGGACCACCTGCTTCCTCATGGTCTTCTCCAGGGGCTGCAGGGGAATCTCTGCTCCGGCGCCTGCAGCACCTCCTCCCCGCCTTCTTCACTGACCTTGGTGTCACAGGGCTGTTTCTCTCACTTCTTTTCCTCACCCCTCACACCGCCATGAGGCATTTTGCCCTTTCCTTTCTTAAATTTCCCAGAGGCGCCACCATTTTGTCTGAGGGGCTCAGCTGTGGTGGGGCCATTGGAACCGGCTGGAACCGGCTGGAACTGGCTGTGCTCAGCGTAGGGTAGCTCCATCCTCTCCTCACAGAGGCCCCTGCAGCCCCCGCCCTGGGCGCTGAGACCCGATACAACGTAAATGTTCATCAGATCTCCCGTCCTGGTCAAGATCAGAGGTGAGAAGTGGCCGTGGTGTCATTCCGGGAGCTGGCGATGCTGACTGAAGAGGCCTGGCCTCCTGGCATGGAGCTGGGGTTGGGCTTTGGGTGAGCTCGGACAGTGGGTCAGGACGTGGCCTCCTGCCAGGCACATGGCCTGGCATCGCTGGAGACCTGCAAAGCAGTACAGACCATGCAGCTCACTGCAGAGCGCACCAGCAGCCCTTACCAGCGGGTTTTCCTTGTCTAAGATGAGCCCACTCTTCCCAATATGCTTTACTCCATGTGGAAAACCAGTTTCCCTGTTGGGGGTAACCTGATGGGCAGCTCTCAATCCTTTCTAGTCCTTTTCCACAGGTGCTGGCAACCCAGGTGCTGAGATTTTGCAGGCATTAACCAGATGAAGAGTCCAATCCTTAAAACTGCTATTCATGATTTATGAACTATAAACACAGTATGACAGCATAACAAAACTGTTAATAAAATACTCATTAGAAAAGCTTTTCTCTGTGCATTGAGCTAAATCAATTGTATATTTTGCCGAAGCGCGTTACCACTCTGCTGCAATATTTTGTTCACTTGTATTCCCTCTTCTGTTGTCATTATCACCTGCGTAAAGCTTTGTTTTAAACATAGTTTGAGCTTCTATTCTGTTTCTCTTGAATTAAGGAAAAACAATCCAGCAAAGCTAAATCAAATAGAATAATTTAGATGGTAGCTGCTTTCTTGCTGGTCAGAGCATAGCTTTGTGTCTTTTCATCAGTCGTGGGATTCTCTTTCATTTTTCTTTAACAGGCTATAGCACAAACTTTATTCTTGACAGCATAGTGAGTTGCAGCTTGACATCCTTCTTTCTGCGGAGATCTTTTCAGGAGATAATCCACAGAGAAAGCTAGGTTTTACACTTGCAGTGCTAATGTAATGTGAGGTGGAAGATTTATTATTCTTATTAGATACTTACCATTGCCTCATAAACGTCTTGCTTGGAGTTTACTGTACAACTTTTTTGGAGACAACACCCCAGTGGGAATGACGTATAAGACAGATATGTCTGATACCCTTTCCTCATCCCTTTGGTACTATTTTTTTCTTATGTCTTCATTCTCATTAGAGATAATGTTCCAGAGTCTGGTATAATACTTGAGATACCCAGGCTACTAATGCGGTGTCATCTGTGTGTGATAATGCATGAATGGAAAGGGGGCGATGGAGGGGAGAAGAGGGAAGAGGCAAGGGAGGTTAAAGGCATCCTTTACCACCACTTCTGGAAGACATTTGTCGACCTTGTGTTTGTATAAGGAGATGCTATAACTTTTTTTGCTTTTTTTACTGTAGTTACAGGGATGCGGAGAAGAACTTTCATAATATATCAAACAGATGCTCCTATACAGACTGCTCTGGCAATGAAGAAACTGAAGATGTCTCAGGAATTCTCCAGTGTACAGCTAATGTTCTTGGTATGTATTTTTTCAGGGGAATTTGTTTCCTTTAGTTGGAAGGAAAGTCATCTTAAGTATCAAGATGGTAGGCCATCTTGGTATTAAGTTGGAAGGCCATCTTAATACTAACAACGAACCAAGGAATTTTTGCACCAGCAAAGGAAATTGAGGATATAGGCAGCTACATATCAGTGCACTGTTATTGCATGTGTCTCCTTTGCTACATATATTTTGTGCCATTTAGACTGATTTTTCAGTGGAGTCAGTGGAGGTGTATTGTGCAATACCCAGGTTGATGTCAGTGATTAGAGAAGTCTCAAAGGCCTTTAGTCCAAACAATTACCATATTTTTTTTATTTGCATTTTTAAATAATTGAATGCTAACTCTCAGAAACAAATGCTAGGACAAATGCTGTCATTTGCCATCTGCTGCTTTCATGGAGTTTGCAAATGGAGAGCTGTTGCAGTTGTGTCTCTGCAGGAAAGGCCCTGGGGGTCCTGGTGACCAGCAAGTGGGACATGGGCCAGCAGCAAGTCCTCGCAGCAAAGGTGGCCAATGGCAGTCTGGGCTGTATGAACAGGGGCAGAGATACAGATTGAAGGGACTCATTATCCCTCTCTACTCAGTATTTGTTGAACCACATCTGGATTACTGAATCCAATGTTGGGACCCCAAAACCATAGAGAAGTTGATAAACCGGAGGGAGTTCAGTTGAGAAGATGGTGGGGCCTGGAGCACCTGCACTGTGAGGAGAGGCTGGGGGACCTGGGCTTATTCAGCCTGGAGCAGAGATGGCTTCAGGAGGACCTAACAGCAGCCCCCAGTGCCTATGGGGACATCCTCAAGGACAGGGAGCTGGGCTCTTTACACTGGTGCAGGGTGGGAGAGCAAGAGATATCAGGCATAAGTTGAAACAGACTGGGTATTTTTCCCCATGAGGACAATCAGGCAGAGGCACAGGTAGCCGAGAGAGGCGGCTTGTGTGCAGTCTCTGCCCTTGGAGGTTTTTAACCCCAACTGGGTAAAGCCATGAGAAACCTGGCCTGACTTACCAGGCAACTCATGGGGTCTCTCCCAGCTTGAAAGCCTCTCTGATTCTGGCCCAGCTAACAAGAAGGAGCTGTCAATACAGCGATGACATTTTTGCTAGTTGAGTACTGAGCTTTTTTTTCTGAACTTTTCTAAAGCACTCACAACACTTGGGGCTATAGTTTTTGTAATGTTGAAACCCTCTTTGCTCTTCCGCTGGAGGTGTCAGTAGGCTGCTGAAGTTGGGGTGGAAGGCACAAAAGATGGCATTCTGGTTCATAATAAATTTCCTTTGAGCTGGTAATATACAGTATAAACCTGTGATGTTTTTATGAGATCATGCAGTTAGAGAGACTTTCTTCAACAAGAGGCACAACACTGAAATCTGACTTTGTATGATAATTAAAGATGTGATTTACTTTCCATGTCAGGGGAATATGGTAAGGTGATATTCTGCTCACATTGGGGTCTGGGCCATTGTATCCTGCTGACTTAAAATCCTTCCGGAGGTATATGGATTGCATGTCTATCTCAAATTGTTAAACAGACCTGGTACGCTCTGTGAAACAGCTAACATGTCCTAGCTGAGAGATGACTCTGTTTCCCTGACAATCAAAATGCTTTTTTTTGGTCTCAAGTGCCTTATTCTGCAAGATGCTAGGTGCAGTCAGGGAGGTTCTGAATGCCTTTAACAGCTGCTGAAATCCCTGGGAAGAGACGGTACTTGGCACTTTGCACATTTAGGTCATGGAGAAAATTTAGAACAAATTAAATTGTAAATATGTCCAGTATTAGTTACTGTATTTTTATTTGCATTTTTAAGTAATTGAATGCTAGCTCTAAGAAACAAATGCTGTGAGTGATAAGGCAGGACTCATGCAAGGTACTGACTTTTCACGTTATCATGTGCATATTAATATTATAAAAAAAAACAAATTAGACATTCAGTACTTATTTTATCATGACACAAATTATGTGTTCTAAGAAATAGTTATGAATACTTTTTAATCTTCAGAGTGCTTTTAAATCAGTATGTTAGTCCTGGTCCCTTAGCACGGCTGAGTAATGCGCAGCCTGTTTTTTCAGTGGTATCCTCACAGCGGACATGTGTCAGGGGCAGATTGGACTGTTGGGATCACAGTGTAGGGGTAACATCTAGACGTTACTGTCTTGGGGAATGATTAAAATGCACTTTGTTGAAAATAAGTTTGCAGACCCTTATTCTGGGAAAAGCTCACCTTTTAAAGAACGAATTTGAGTTCATAGCAAAAAAAAAAAAAATTTCCATGTGAGCAAAACACTAAGATAATTTAAAAGCAGTACTTTTTTCCTTCTCCTTACCTGGGACAGGATCATAAGGGAATGAGCAGTAAAACCAGCTTCTTCATTTTAATTGTAGTTCCTATCACAAAAGGTAAATTAATGGATGCTGTGTAATTAATTCTCACATAAGCAGTTATTTTTCATGTTGAATAAAGATCAGTGAGAGCTGTTTCTATGCAAGAAGGACGTAACCACTGGGGTGTGTACCTACAGCAATTGGCATTGCTGAAACAGGAGACAAGAATGAATCTGACTGTGATGGAGACTAGAGAAACTGTTGAACCAAATCTGGCTCTCAGTTTATTTATATGAGCAGTAACAGGGACTTGCTGTCTAGGGCTGGAAGAAAGTGTTTTCTTAAAGGTGCTTGGAAGCAACCTCCTGCTCTCTTACCTTAGATAATGCCAAAATGATTCATCTCTCCTGACCCTCTAACTGCCTCTAAAATAGTCATTTGGCATTCCTTATTCATCAGAAGACAGCAAATGCTGAGATTAGTAAGCTTGGAAGACTGTGAGCAGATGCTTTGCACCGTGGTCCTGGTGCTTACACTGCTCACAGCAAAGTGCTGACTGCAGGCTGTACGCTCAGCTTGATGCATGTGATTTATCATGTATGAATACTGGAATTTTCCTCCTGTGAAGTCTTCACTAAAGTGTGACACCATCTTCCTGCAGTGGAAGGACCTGATTCTCCTCGTCTCCTCACTAAGTTGCTCCTGCTACAAGTCTAGACATCAATGGAGCTCTTCCTGCTTTAATCCACTGTAATTAAAGGAGCCATGTCCATCATGCTTACACGCTATAAACCATGTTTGATACCAGATCAATGGCACAGCTTTCCTTTGTGGTGACAGCTTTTGTGGCTGGAATATTTAATTTAACTTTATATCCTTTTCAAAATAGTCCATGGACTCTGCTTTCTTTAATTGGTGCGTGCACGCTTTTACAGTGTCCTTCACAAGCATATCATCCAAAGGAAAAACAAGTGACAATATATTGTAAGTTGAGAAAAAGAGAAGAGAAATCCTAGCTTCTAAAGAGAGCCTTTATATAAAGTTCCTAGTTTGAAATAAAGTATTTCAAAGAATAAGTGCTGGTATGTTTTATCCTGTTGACACACATAATGCTTTTAGCTGGCTAGCTAAGCTGTGTTCAAAGCAGATTGGTGTTGTTAGTTTGAACTTATTTCAGAAGTAATGGTAAGAAAAAGATTCCTATGATGAAGTATATTATGTGGATGACTACCACATTTCTTTATTAGGTGACTATGAATTTATACTGAGGTATGTTAGAGAGAAAGATTGTATCTGAAGAGATTTCTTATTTGACCTTGGGCACGTTTTTATTCTTTCTGTGCCTCAATTTCCCATCTGCATAATGGAGATAACAATAGGGTTTTTTTTAATCCTTTAAACCATATGTCAGTGCTGTTCAGATTTTAACCTTCTCAAAGCAAAGATGTTTTTATACCATTTGTACATTCAGCATTTTGAGCAATGACAGCCAAATCTTGTTTGGGACTGCTTTTGTCCCCGTAATTTAAAATAATTTGATTTCAAGTAAGATTAGAGTGTGCATTTTGACTTACTGCAGCTAGTCAGAGTAAAGCAGACGACTTCCATGTAATTGCAAATTAAAACTTCGGCAACAGGAAGATAAGGATGAAAACTTTTTTTAATTGTTAGTCTGTAATTTCTACTTTAAGAAATATATTTTGGGACATAAAGCCTTCATGACCTGTCCTGCTTATCTGTTTTGCAGATATTCCAAGCAGGTCTGTGCTACTGAGCTTTACAAAGCAACAGAGAAATGCCCAGTTTTCATTTCTCAAGCCCACTGTGTACTTCTGATATATCACATGATGTTCTGCACATCCCAAATGCACAAGCTAGATAAAAATTGTACAGCCTTCCCTTCGTCTCCTCGAAACACTCTTTTCAAACACTGCACACAATTAATGTAGCCTTTGTGGATGTGAACTGTTCTTCACTCTTACTTCAATCCTTAACAAAAAAAGAAACAGAGTTTCATGAAGGGAATTACCTGTTTTCCTTTAAATGCCACCAGTATTTCCTTTGGAGCTTCTTTGCAGCTTGCTGAGGAGCTCTGTAATCTGTCATAACTTTAATAGTAAAACTAATGAAAAATAACGTAAATTCTTAAATATCTGTAAAAAAACTGTTGTGCAAAATTTGCAAAGCAGAAGTAGATGTTCATACCCAATCTTTAACAACATGGAAGAAATGTTGTCTTTGAAAGCCTATTTGTGTGTTAGACTACAATATCTAAATTGTATGTACTGCAGCACCATGCTATATACACTGCATAAATAACACCTGCAACATCTTGAGTGCACAGCCTGAAGTTACAGATGCACATGTAGTAGATAGTTGTTTCAACAAGGAGACCTGCCTTTCCATTGCTTAAGATAGAGAAAAATATTCTCTTCCATTTTTTTATTCAAGAAATTAATTTATGCAACACAACTCTTTTTCATCTGTTATAAAAAATTGACTCCTAAAATCTTACTACAATTACCTCATTTTCCTTAAAAAATGCACAGCATACATCAATGGCTCCTAAGTCAGCTCTGTATGTGGACTTAAATGTATTGCAAGAATTTTTCCTGTTAGGCATTCTTAGCTCACAGGTTAATAATAATG